CCCGTTCAGCCAAATCTTCTTTACAGGTTCCTGATACTATCGCTTTTGAAATATCAAGTAGGTATTGCTGATCTTTGCTGAGCACGTTTTTGTCTATCTGTGGAATCTGACAATCAATTCTCTGGAAGTTAACCACCGGCAGTTTTTGGCAGGAAACTAACTTTTCACCAATTGGCCCTTTGGAAGTACTAGGCCCCGTTGTCTTGCCATCCAGGTACTCAAACAAATGGCGAAATGGCAACTCATTGAAATGGAGGAGGCAGATAGCCCATTGTACAGGTTTTGTTAAATAAAGTTCAACTCGGCGTACTAGTCCAGTCTTCCATCCGGTATTGACAGCAGTACCATCACATCCGATGACAATGAGATCTTCAAGAGAAATATCACGCTCAGACAGGTAAGAAATTACAGACTTGACAATAGTGAGTAATGCTCTTCCTTAATAGTTCTACGAAACCTTTTTGAATGAGCTTGCTTAATCACCGACACGTTGGTCTTTTCGTCCATCTAAATATAGACCTAACAGTGGAGGTGAGTCAGACTTACCACACAATTCAGCCATAACAGTTTGCTTTTCACGTCTTATTTTGTTCTTATCTACAACATGCGTGGAATCGGAATTACTGATAACGCCAAAGTCGTGCAAAACACTTGATGCGATCGCTGCAGTGGCACGATCGGAAACGCCATAACGGTTGCTTATAATTGCAGTGGATTTCAACTGAACTCTCATCTGCCAAATGGGTTTTGGAGCTTTTTTTGTTTGAACTGTATAATCTTGGTCGTTATCACTGCCTGTGTCTGAGTCCAAACTTGAAGGACAACGTATTTCTTCAGTTTCGACTAATTTTAAAACAGAATCCGAGGACGAAGGCTTCGCAACTTCTTCTACATATAAATGACTGTCTCTTGACTTCCTTTCCAACGCTTTCTTACGCTTGTTTGTTTCATTAATGTCCACCGGGCCAATTTTCCCTAATCCGTACTTTCGCATTAAGTATACAAATTTTAGTTCAATTGGGGGTATTTTCTTTGATTTTTCACAACTGCAATCAATAGTGACTTTGCACTGGCACAGATCTGGGACTTTTTTGCAAGTGCATTCAACAGCGATTGGGCATTTGCAGGCTGCTACATCAAAAAGAAGTGAGCACTTTAGTTTAAAATCATCAACACGTTTTTTAAAAGAAGCATTGTTTTTGTCCCGTGTATATGATTTCCTCAGGCCACAATACTTATCATGCAATGCAGTTATGAGCTGCGTAATTCTCGTCTCTGTAACTGTAGGGATAGATGCTTTTTCATATAAGCTAATTACTTTGTTAGTTACTGTACTGGTAACCTGTTTGAAACTCACGCTCTTATTATTAATTCTTAATGCTAGATTAAACCTTTCTTGAGAACATCCCCGAATGATTTCCTCGCCCGTAGGTAGCTTGTTTGTTGGGAGATCTTTTGGAGTACCAAAAATAGGGCAGTCGAATGTCTGTCTTGTTATCACTTTCTTCGGCAGAGCCATGACGTAATTGCATCGATATTCACACAGTCATGTCAACAGTAACACACAGCAATATGATACACAAACCACCAAAACAGTTGCAAAACAAAAAACTGATATTTAACTAAACAGTGGGACACTGCAATCACAACTGACAGAAGCAGACTGACTGACACTGAAGGGGAGGGAGACGCGTGGCGTGATCTTAGGAATGTAGAGGGGGTGGAATGGAGGGGAGAGGTCGTTCAACCCGGCTAGACAAGTGACTCACGACCAGTTCCATTGAAAAAGTTGGCCTGCTCTGGTTATAACTTATAACAAACTAATTATCAATATTATTTATCGAATTCAATAAATGCGTGAAAATGTGAAATTTTCCAATATTTTGGTGAACTGAGATTTATGCGCGACCGGAAGATATAAATTAATATAAACCAAACTAAAACACAATGTTTTAAGGCTCATTCAGAAGACGTTACAAACTATTACAATAAAAAAACATTAATTTTAAAAATTGGAAATTTTTTTTAAAAAATCAAATTTTTCAATTTTTTTTCAAACTTTAGGGCCTATGCGCGACCGGAAAATGTTAACCGATTTTGATAATTTTTTTTCTTTTTTGTTGTCTGTATGATTCGCAACTTTTCCGCACTATTAGAACTTTGAAAAAAAAAATCGATTTTTTTCAGCCCACCCTAATGGGCACCCCTGCAAAATGGGTTGAGGTATTTCGAACAAAAACTACTTCTGATTGGTGTGTCAAGAAATTAAGACAATTGTTTTCAAAGTTCGGAATTCCATTTACTTTAGTGTCTGATAATGGCAGACAATTTTGTGGACATACTTTTGAAACATTTTTGAAAAACTATGATGTGTTACACAAAACAAGCGCTCCATTCCATCCTTCGTCCAACGGCCATGCAGAGAGGTTTGTCCAAACCATAAAGAAGGGTCTACTAGCAATGAAAGATGAAGGTGGGGATATGGACATAAAGTTACAACGATTCTTAATGCAATTGAGACAAGCAAGAAACTCTAGTGGGAGTAGTGGGTCAAACTCTTATTTTCTAATGTTTCAAAGAAATGTGAGAACAAATTAGATTTAATGACAACAAACAACACATCTTCGAACAATGACTTCAAATGTGCAAAGGTAGTGAGGGAATTTAAAAAAGGGGAGAGAGTTCAAGCATACGACTTCAGACATAGTAAAAACAAGTGGATGATTGGTTATGTTAAAAGCAAGGAAGGTAAAATAATTTTTGTTCTGAAAATGGATGATGGATCTATATGGAGACGGCATGTCAATCACATGTTACCGACCAAATTCAAGGGGGAAGATTTATATGTACATTCCAAAACTACTGGCTATAAGTGGTTCATAAACATCTGTTCTTATTTATTATTGTTTATATGATGATTTAGTTACATAATAGAAGTGTGATTAAATAAAGAAAAATTGAGTTAGCCTACTATATTTAAATGTTACATTATTAAAATATCTAACAATAACAATAAAATTCAAGCGCACCTACAGCTGATTTCTAGCGTTGAACGTCGTTGGCTCCAGAGGTATATTTTTTTAACCCTCCAGGTGTTATTTGTCGCTGCAGCGACTCACAAACACTGTTTACGGCGAAGGCTCTATGACTGACAAAATCTGATTGAACTGGATCGAGTTAGGTATCGTTTTATTTGACAGATTCAGAGCTTTCTCTGGAGGTCTGTCTCTAAGCGCTATTCATTTTAGTTCCGAAAATATTGTAGCAGACAGCTGACGTGCGTATTTGTAAACAGCTTGGTTAACCTCGGACCGATGACTGATGTGTTTTATTACGTTTATCATTGTTTTAGTGTTAAAAATCTAAAGTAGTGATATACGTGGTGCATTATAAGAAGATTTAAGTGATTTTGAAGGGCTGGTTGATGATCCTGAAGAAGTAGGTAGTGATATTGATGTAAATTATCAGCCAGATTCCTAGCTATGGTTAGGCTATGCATTCTTAGCTAAACACTATGTACTGAAATCTGTTTTTTGCCCATAACTTATTTATTTGCAAATCTACTTCCTTATATTATTATATATTTGTAATCCTCATAAAATTTAGAACAAAGTGGCTATTTTCAAATATTTATAGGCCTATAATTTATACAATTTCATTGAGCGCGAACTTATTTTTTTTTGAAAATTTTTCAAAATATTTTTTTTACCTAAACATTTTTTTTAAAACAAATGTTCCTTATGTTCTATGTATAATATTGAAGCCCATGATTTTCCAAACAAAATGATATATAGAACAGTATAATTAACATTGTTTTCAAGCTTCTCAGATCCGTTTTAATAAAACCTTGCAAATGAGCAAAAAATGGCAGACATTAAGGCCAAAACAAGGGACACTCGGAGGGTTAAATTGAGCACTCAATGTTATTTAAATGGGTTTCATTACTTCACTCGTGAAGTAAAGAAGTTGTTTACATCACGCTTGGGATAGGGAAGTTTAACATGGCGGGTTGGGTAAAATAGTATTATAGGTACTTTTTAAGTTTCTCAGATAAATAATAAAACCATGCGCATGCGCAATAGGCCTAAATAGGCAAACATTAAAACCTTTACTATAAACACTTGGAGGGTTAAAATTTGAAGACAATTAGTAACTACTCTGTTTCTAAAAAATTGCCTTATGAAAGAAAATATTTTTCTATAGTTACCTGACATATTGGGCTTCCTTGCAGTGATTATAGCACGCAAATTAGCTAATTGCTGCATGCATTTACTTTTGCTACACTCATTTTCTTTTGCCACACTCATTTTCTTTTGCCACACTCCAGATTTTCTTTTTCTCAACTAAACAACACAGAACGGTGTGCTTTTATTAGCAACGTAACACAAGTAGGCCTATGCTTGAAAATAAGTCGGCAACACTTAACAGGCTCAGTCCCAGCTGGCACACTCCTCTGTATGTAAGGCTTCTCTCCACATGAGGGTGAGTGTGTTAAAGATACTACAACTGTGATCAGCTGGTGCAGCATTTCCCATTTCCTTCAACGCTTGGGTTTAACCTAACCTAAAACCTTGTTGTAGGAGTGTTTGAATGACCAATATTATGATTTATAGTAGGTAACTTTAGGAAAAATAAAATATGTAACGCGAATGCAAAGTGCCTTTGCTGCACTTGAGAGAAACATTCCACACTCACCTGCGGCTTGTGCGTAAAAATTTCTCTCATGTGCAGCAAAGTGCCACTTCGCTTACTAGTTAAGTTACACAACTATCTATTTTTAAATGCTTAACTAAAAAACCTATAAATGTTTCTTATGTTTATATCAATGATAGTTAACCACCAAAAAGAAGGAATGCCATTTGTTTTTAAAATATACTCAACATCACTCAACATCTCTAGTAAAACAAGATCGCAACATATATTTCAGAATAAAATACTAATTTATTTACAATCTATGAGGTAAAATAATCTGTTCAATAATAAAACATCTTATGAACCAGGTTCACTTTAAAAAAATTGGAAGGGCCAAAACACTCAGACAGTTTGGAAAAATGAAACACCTTGTGAACAAGCATCCAGTTATTACGTTGGATCATATCGTCAAGGAGAGGTAAGTGGTTACTATAGCCTATGCTCACAATTGCATTTTTATAGAGAGGGGGTTTTACTACATAGGCCTATAGACCTAATATAGGGCAAAATTGCTCAGGATTTCAGATAAACTCTCATTAACGCTATGTAGATCTGATAACATTCACTGGGATCGTTTGTAGATATTAACCATTCTTTGCCTGGGTTGGGAGTTTATCATACTAGGCTTGTGATCATGGGCGTCTGGTTTATCACACATGACGTAAGGAGGGTGGAATTCTCCCCACCAGTGACAATTCTGCATGCAATTTTGGTAAAAGACCAAAAAAACCTATCAACATTAAGTTACTGCCATTCAATCACAATCCACTCAAACATAGTATACTATTCATCAGATATTTTGGTCTTTTAACATTCTTTGTCAACTGACAGGTACCCTACATTCAATGATGCCCTGAAAGACCTAGATGACTGTCTCACTCTATGTTTCTTGTTTGCAATTTTGTATTTTTACACACTTTGTCAACTCACAGGTAACCTACATTCATTGATGCCCTAAGAGACCTAGATGACTGCCTCATCCTATGTTTCTTGTTAGCAATGTTGTCTTTTAACAGTCTTTGTCAACTCACAGGTAACCTACATTCATTGATGCCCTGAGAGACCTAGATGAATGCCTCACCCTATGTTTTTTGTTAGCAATGTTGTCTTTTAACACTCTTTGTCAACTCACAGGTAACCTACATTCATTGATGCCCTGAGAGACCTAGATGAATGCCTCACCCTATGTTTCTTGTTAGCAATGTTGTCTTTTAACACTCTTTGTCAACTCACAGGTAACCTACATTCATTGATGCCCTGAGAGACCTAGATGAATGCCTCACCCTATGTTTTTTGTTAGCAATGTTGTCTTTTAACACTCTTTGTCAACTCACAGGTAACCTACATTCATTGATGCCCTGAGAGACCTAGATGACTGCCTCACCCAATGTTTCTTGTTAGCAATGTTGTCTTTTAACACTCTTTGTCAACTCACAGATAACCTACTATAATTGATGCCCTAAGAGACCCAGATGACTGCCTCACCCTATGTTTCTTGTTAGCAATGTTGTCTTTTAACACTCTTTGTCAACTCACAGGTAACCTACATTCATTGATGCCCTGAGAGACCTAGATGAATGCCTCACCCTATGTTTCTTGTTAGCAATGTTGTCTTTTAACACTCTTTGTCAACTCACAGATAACCTACTATAATTGATGCCCTAAGAGACCCAGATGACTGCCTCACCCAATGTTTCTTGTTAGCAATGTTGTCTTTTAACACTCTTTGTCAACTCACAGATAACCTACTATAATTGATGCCCTAAGAGACCCAGATGACTGCCTCACCCTATGTTTTTTGTTAGCAATGTTGTCTTTTAACACTCTTTGTCAACTCACAGGTAACCTACATTCATTGATGCCCTGAGAGACCTAGATGAATGCCTCACCCTATGTTTCTTGTTAGCAATGTTGTCTTTTAACACTCTTTGTCAACTCACAGGTAACCTACATTCATTGATGCCCTGAGAGACCTAGATGAATGCCTCACCCTATGTTTCTTGTTAGCAATGTTGTCTTTTAACACTCTTTGTCAACTCACAGGTAACCTACATTCATTGATGCCCTGAGAGACCTAGATGACTGCCTCACCCTATGTTTCTTGTTAGCAATGTTGTCTTTTAACACTCTTTGTCAACTCACAGATAACCTACTATAATTGATGCCCTAAGAGACCCAGATGACTGCCTCACCCTATGTTTCTTGTTAGCAATGTTGTCTTTTAACACTCTTTGTCAACTCACAGGTAACCTACATTAATTGATGCCTTAAGAGACCTAGATGACTGCCTCACCCTATGTTTCTTGTTAGCAACGTTGTCTTTTAACAGTCTTTGTCAACTCACAGGTACCCTACATTCATTGATGCCCTGAGAGGCCTAGATGAATGCCTCACCCTATGTTTCTTGTTAGCAATGTTGTCTTTTAACACACTTTGTCAACTCACAGGTAACCTACATTCATTGATGCCCTAAGAGACCTAGATGACTGCCTCACCCTATGTTTCTTGTTAGCAATGTTGTCTTTTAACAGTCTTTGTCAACTCACAGGTAACCTACATTCATTGATGCCCTGAGAGATCTAGATGAATGCCTCACCCTATGTTTTTTGTTAGCAATGTTGTCTTTTAACAGTCTTGTCAACTCACAGGTACCCTACATTCATTGATGCCCTGAGAGGCCTAGATGAATGCCTCACCCTATGTTTCTTGTTAGCAATGTTGTCTTTTAACAGTCTTTGTCAACTCACAGGTACCCTACATTCATTGATGCCCTGAGAGGCCTAGATGAATGCCTCACCCTATGTTTCTTGTTAGCAATGTTGTCTTTTAACACACTTTGTCAACTCACAGGTAACCTACATTCATTGATGCCCTGAGAGATCTAGATGAATGCCTCACCCTATGTTTCTTGTTAGCAATGTTGTCTTTTAACAGTCTTTGTTAACTCACAGGTACCCTACATCCATTGATGCCCTGAGAGGCCTCTATGAATGCCTCACCCTATGTTTCTTGTTAGCAATGTTGTCTTTTAACACACTTTGTCAACTCACAGGTAACCTACATTCATTGATGCCCTAAGAGACCTAGATGACTGCCTCACCCTATGTTTCTTGTTAGCAATGTTGTCTTTTAACAGTCTTTGTCAACTCACAGGTACCCTACATTCATTGATGCCCTGAGAGACCTAGATGAATGCCTCACCCTATGTTTTTTGTTAGCAATGTTGTCTTTTAACACTCTTTGTCAACTCACAGGTAACCTACATTCATTGATGCCCTGAGAGACCTAGATGACTGCCTCACCCTATGTTTCTTGTTAGCAATGTTGTCTTTTAACACTCTTTGTCAACTCACAGGTAACCTACTATAATTGATGCCCTAAGAGACCTAGATGACTGCCTCACCCTATGTTTCTTGTTAGCAATGTTGTCTTTTAACACTCTTTGTCAACTCACAGGTAACCTACATTAATTGATGCCTTAAGAGACCTAGATGACTGCCTCACCCAATGCTTCTTGTTAGCAATGTTGTCTTTTAACAGTCGTTGTCAACTCACACCTAACCTACATTCATTGATGCCCTAAGAGACCAAGATGACTGCCTCACCCTATGTTTCTTGTTAGCAACGTTGTCTTTTAACAGTCTTTGTCAACTCACAGGTACCCTACATTCATTGATGTCCTGAGAGATCTAGACGAATGCCTCACCCTATGTTTCTTGTTAGCAATGTTGTCTTTTAACAGTCCTTGTCAACTCACAGCTAACCTACATTCATTGATGCCCTAAGAGACCTAGATGAATGCCTCACCCTATGTTTTTTGTTAGCAATGTTGTCTTTTAACAGTCTTTGTCAATTCACAGCTAACCTACATTCATTGATGCTTTAAGAGACCTACATGACTGCCTCGCCCTATGTTTCTTGTTAGGAACGTTGTCTTTTAACAGTCTTTGTCAACTCACAGGTACCCTACATTCATTTATGCCCTGAGAGATCTAGACGACTACCTCACCCTATGTTTCCTGTTAGCAATGTTGTCTTTTAACAGTATTTGTCAAGTCACAAGTACCCTACATTCATTTATGCCCTGAGAGATCTAGACGACTACCTCACCCTATGTTTCCTGTTAGCAATGTTGTCTTTTAACAGTATTTGTCAAGTCACAAGTACCCTACATTCATTGATGCCCTGAGAGACCTAGATGACTGCCTCATGACTGCCTCACCCTATGTTTCTTGTTAGCAATGTTGTCTTTTAACAGTCTTTGTCAACTCACAGGTACCCTACGTTCATTGATGCCCTGAGAGATCTAGACGACTGCCTCACCCTATGTTTCTTGTTTGCAATGTTTCCTTCTCTTGCGGGAGTGGCTCGAGACCAGTCACAGCTGTGTCGTAGACTTACAGTGGAGTTTATGCACGCCTGTATAGCTGCTAAAGCTCTTCGTAAGGTTTGTAAAAAAGTCTAAATATATATTATTATTTCTAAAGACATAAAGTTAGTAATTTAGAACCACCGGATCCGGATACTAATTAATTATTTTTTCTTACCAAGCTTAAAAAATAGAATTGAGTTACTAGACTATATTTTTATTTCTACTTGCAAAGATAAATTTTTTTCATTTATTATTTTTGACAGGCAGGATAAAACATTTTTAATGTGATATTATCTTACCTTACCTTACCTTACTTTACCTTACCTTACCCATGTGGCCACTCAAACCTCAGTAGGTTTTTGGCCTTGCCAACAAGAAGTCACCACCTCTCTCTGTCTTCGATCCATTCTGTTTGTGATTTTAGCTTTCCTATGTCACTTCGCACCTGGTCCTGCCATCTTAGCCGAGGTCGTCCTATACTTTAATACATTACTTTGAAATGGCGACTATGCGAATGTAGGTATTTTAAGCCAAGTATGAATGGAGATGAGTGTAGGATGAGTGGCGTGATCTTGTAGTCTTGTTAGTGATTTTTTCGAAGTCGTCCGGTTGTAGAAGGATTTGCCGCTGACATGTCAGCGTTGCCCGGGGTGCGCCCGATTGTGATGTCGTTCATAGCGTGTAAGTTAATGGTCACAATCTTCGGGGAGGCTCCTTCTGTGCACCCCTGACTATGACTCTAAATGAACTTTCCCAGTACTATGACGCAAATAACCTCAAGCCGAACCCTGCTAAGACCCAAGTTTGTGCCTTTCACCTAAACAATAGAGAAGCAGGCCGTGAGTTGAATGTGAGGTGGCAGGCAGACCGTCTTCAGCATTGTCCTACACCCAAATATCTTGGTGTCATACTGGACCGCACACTGACATTTAAGGCGCATTGTATTGCGACAAGAGGTAAAGTCTCAGCGAGGAATAATATCATCAGGAAGCTCACCAGCAGATGCTGGGGTGCTAACCCTAATGACCTCAGCTTTTTTTAAGAACCTAGCGCTCAGTGTTTCGGCTGCGGAGTACGCTGCACCAGTATGAATTTTTTTCCGCGATCGCGCATGACAACGATGACGTATTCGTGACCGCGGGAGACGACGATTACATATCCGTGACCGTGGGAGACGACGATGACGTATCCGTGACCGCGGGAGACGACGATGACGTATTCGTGACCGCGGGAAACGACGATGACGTTTCCGTGACCGCGGGAGACGACGATGACGTATCCGTGACCGCGGGAGACGACGATGACGTATCCGTGACCGTGGGAGACGACGACAACGTTTCCGTAACCGCGGGAGACGATGACGTTGTTTCCGTGACCGCGGGAAACGACGATTGCGTTTCCGTGACCACGGAAGACAACCATGATATTTCCGTGACCGTGGGAGATGACGATGACGTTTTCGTGACCGCGAGAGACGACGATGACATTTTCGTGACCGCGTGTGACGACGATGACGTTTCCGCGACTTCGCGAGATGACGATGACGTTTCCATGATCGCGCAAGCGGACGATGACGTTTCCGTGACCGCGTAAGACGATGCCCAAACGGCCGCAGGATATGTTAGTGATTTTGTGGCTACATGGTTTTGACATTAATTTGAATCTGCTAATTACTGTCTCAACTATACTTTGAATGTTAAAATTATCATAATGATCAGCTGACTTTTTGTAAACTATATATTTGATTTTATTGTAGTTCTTTCTTAATACAAAAGTGTTTCAATGTTTATAATCTCTTCTTTTAATTAACTTATTTTGTGTTAGTATATTTATATAAGGCACAAGCCTTATTTGGTGACCCCTTACTGTACTTTTTATTGTCATTAATTCAATTGGACCATAATGAATAATCAAGAATCTACTCCAACTCCTAGTACACCAGAGGCTTCACAAATCTCACCAATTCAAGTGAAAATTCCACCATTTTGGACAAAAAATGTTTCACTTTGGTTTCATCAAATTGAATGTCAGTTTTCTCTGCATGGAGTTTCAAAGGAAAGAACTAAATACAATTATGTAATGAGCTCACTGGACAATGAAGTTGCAAGTCACCTTTCAGATTTTATTACCAAACCTTTGTCTCAAACTCCCTACTCTGACTTAAAAGAAAGGCTCTGCTCAGAATACGAAATTTCAGAAAATGCCAAACTAAAACAACTGACAACAGAAGTTTTTCTCGGAGATAAGAAGCCGACAACACTTCTTCGTGAAATGAGAACCTTAGCAGGCACACAGGTAACTGACAGTTTTTTTAAAGTTATTTTTCTACAACGTCTACCTAGTCACATTCGTACTGCTCTAGCCGCTTCTCAAACCAATTCTTTTGATGACTTAGCTAAATTAGGTGACCAAATAGCTGAACTATCAGCCGTCGACAACTACGTTTGTGCTCAAGGAGATGTTGCGCAATCTAGTGATCGGATTTCCAACTTAGAAAAACAAGTCAGCGAACTAACTCAGTCTATTGATGGACTTCTTAAGTTAAGTAAACGCAACTTCCCAGTCAAACATAAGAACAATTACTATCCTAAAGAGGGAAATGATCAAGGTGAAATTTGCTGGTATCATAACAAATTTGGTGAAAATGCTAAAAAATGTGTTCAACCTTGTTTGTTCACACCACAAAAGAATGCACAACAGGAAAACTTCCTGCCCCGTCACTAAATGCGGCTCAGGATGACAGGGGCTTTCAATCTCGCCGCTTATTTGTAACTAACTTACCCTGTGGTCGTAAGTTTCTCGTGGATTCTGGAGCAGACATATCTGTTTTGCCTCTCACAAACAAAGACAAATGTGCTGTAAGTAATAGACAATTATATGCTGCCAATGGTTCTGTTATCAAAACGTACGGTAAACAAGACATCAAACTTGATCTAGGCTTGAAAAGAAAGTTTGTCTGGTCTTTCATAGTTGCAGACGTAACCCAACCCATAATTGGCGCAGACTTTTTATCACATTACGGTTTACTTGTTGATATCAAAAATAAAAGACTAATCGATAACAGGACTCAATTATCTGTTATTGGAATTCAAAAACTTTCAAATCAACAATCTGTATTGGTTCTTGACCCAAAAGGTAAATACTCAAAACTTATCAACCAATATCCTAATTTACTGAAAGAAAATCCTAATTTTCAAGTTTCACAGGACACAGTTTTTCACTCAATTCAGACAACAGGTCAGCCTGTGAACTTTAGAGCTAGACGTTTATCTCCAGAAAAACTTGCGGTAGCTAAAAATGAGTTTCACAAGATGGTCGAGTTAGGCATTTGCAGACCTTCAAAAAGCTGTTGGTCCAGTCCACTTCATTTGGTTCCTAAAACTGATGGTACATGGAGACCTTGCGGGGATTACCGTGCCCTAAATGCAAAAACAGTTCCTGATAGATATCCTATACCTTATTTGCATGATTTTAACAGCCAGTTAAATGGAAAAACTATATTTTCCAAAATTGATCTTGTTCGGGCTTTTCATCACATTCCAGTAGCTCCTGATGACATTCCAAAAACTGCTGTCATAACACCTTTTGGATTATTTGAATTTCTAAAAATGCCATTTGGATTAAGGAATGCTGCACAAACTTTCCAGAGATATATTAATTCTCTTTTGCATGATCTAGAGTTTACCTTTTGTTACTTAGATGATATTCTAGTAGCATCCTCCTCAGAAGATGAACATATTAATCACTTGCAAACTGTTTTTGATAGACTTAATAAGCATCACATTAATATTAATACGTCAAAGAGCGTATTTGGCGTGACTGAGATCTCTTTTCTTGGTTACACAGTTTCGAAACAAGGAATTTCTCCTCTTCCTGATAAAGTTGAAGCTATTGTTAGTTGCAAACTTCCTGAAACCATTCTTGAGCTTCGTAGATTCCTTGGACTTATAAACTTTTACAGAAGTTCACTTCCTAACGCAGCTGCTATTCAGCAACAACTATTTGATTTGTGTAAGGGTACACATAAATCTGATAAACGAAAAATAAATTGGACTTCAGAATCTAAGAAAGCTTTTGAGGATGCAAAGGGCCAGCTAGTCAATGCCACACTTCTAGCACACCCATCTCCTGATGCTCCTTTAGCTCTCATGGTCGATACATCAAACTTCGCTATAGGTTCGTCTCTCCACCAGATTTGTAATGGAAACTTTGAACCTCTTGGGTTTTTCTCTAAATCCCTTACAACAACTCAAAAAAAATACAGTACCTATGACAGGGAACTCCTGGCTGCATACCTATCTGTGAAGCACTTCCGTTATCTCCTTGAAGGGCGAAGTTTTGTTATATATACAGATCACAAACCTCTATCTTTTGCCTTCAATAAACCCTCTGATACATCTAGTCCAAGGCAATTGCGTCATCTAGACTTCATTGGACAGTTCACTACTGACATAAGGTATCTTCCAGGAAAACAAAACATTCCTGCTGATTTCATGTCAAGAATAAGTGCTATTGACCTACCTTCATCTATATCATTTGAACAAATTTCTGAAACTCAATCTCAAGATGCTGAACTTAAAAACCTGAAGTACTCAAACACAACTTCTTTGATATTCAAAAATATTTTACTTCCTAATGGCTCAGAGCTGTGTTGTGACACAAGTACTGGAAGGCTACGGCCATTTATTCCTCAACAGTTCAGAAAGCAGTTATTTGACTCCCTTCACAACCTGGCACATCCTGGAATCAAAGGATCTCTGGACCTTATTAAACAACGTTTTGTTTGGCCTTCCATGAATAAAGATGTCAGACTTTGGGCCAAAGCATGTGTAGCTTGCCAGAAATCAAAGGTTTGGAAACATACTACTTCTGAGATTGGAGCTTACAACAACATTAATGGACGTTTTTCTCACATCAATGTGGACATAGTTGGACCCTTGCCACCTTCTCAAGGATTTACGTACTTGCTAACTATCATAGACCGCTTTACTCGATGGGTCGAGGCAACGCCTATCAAGGATATTACTGCTGGAACAGTTGCAGAAGCACTTCTTTCTACCTGGATTGCTAGATTTGGAGTTCCTCAAAACATTACTACAGATAGAGGAAGACAATTTGACTGCAATTTATTTAAGGAATTAACAAAACATCTCGGTATCCATCACATTAAAACTACAGCGTATCACCCTGAAGCTAATGGAAAGATCGAGAGATGGCACCGACATCTGAAATCTGCATTAACAGCTCAACTCACATCTAACTGGACACAGACGTTACCAATGGTTCTACTGGGACTAAGATCTTATATTATTCCAGAACACAATGTTACTGCTGCAGAAATGACACTAGGTCAGTCCATCAGACTGCCATGCGATCTTTTTCAAACCACAGAAGATACCTCAACAAATGTTCCTGATTTAGTGTACAATCTGAAAAGAAAAATGAATGATCTCAAACCAATAGAAGCCAAATACCATTCTTCTAAGAAGGTCTTTGTTCATCCAGAATTAAGAACATCCAACCATGTTTTTGTTCGTCATGATTCATTCCGAAGACCGTTGCAAGCTGTCTACGATGGTCCTTACCAAGTGGTTTCGCGATCTGACAAGTGGTTTACTATTCTTACTCCACGAGGACCTACGTCGATTTCTATTGACCGACTCAAACCGGCATTCCTCCTTCAAGATTCTATGAGCGATACGACCATTTACGTAAAAAAAAATGACATGCAATCTAGAGAAACTCAAGTAGACAAGACCAAAGACAGGAATGAAGATGTTGACCTTAAAAAAACACTGATTTTTACAAGATCAGGTCGTAGTGTTCATCCCCCGCATCGTTACGTTCCTCGTTGACACTGGGAGGGGAGTATGTGGCTACATGGTTTTGACATTAATTTGAATCTGCTAATTACTGTCTCAACTATACTTTGAATGTTAAAATTATCATATGATCAGCTGACTTTTTGTAAACTATATATTTGATTTTATTGTAGTTCTTTCTTAATACAAAAGTGTTTCAATGTTTATAATCTCTTCTTTTAATTCACTTATTTTGTGTTAGTATATTTATATAAGGCACAAGCCTTAATTTTGCCGCGATCGCGCATGTGGACGATGACGTTTTTCGTGACCGCGGGAAATGACGATGACGTTCCCGTGACCGCGGGAGACGACGATGACGTTCCCGTGACCGCGGGAGACGACGATGACGTTCCCGTGACCGCGGGAGACGACGATGACGTTCCCGTGACCGCGGGAGACGACGATGACGTTCCCGTGACCGCGGGAGACGACGATGACGTTCCCGTGACCGGGAGACGACGATGACATTTTAACAGCCTGATGATGGGATTTTAATCCTGAAACCGGTTGCATAAGACGACAACAATAGGATCACTGACGGACAGGTAATATAAACCATTTTATTCTATAAGTGATCCTGGGCCACTAAGCATAATGATACTATGTACACTTGATGTTTGATAGTGTGATACTGTATTATCTTTATCTTTACTTTTTAACTCTAAAATATTTATCTACATTATTTGTTTTTGGTTTTCTCTTTCAGGTTTTTGTGTCTATCAAAGGCTATTACTTCCAAGTGGAGCTTAAGGGTCAAACCATCACTTGGATAATGCCACACCAGTTCTCTTTCCAGGTAAACTGAATAGTTACAATGAGGAGTGGGGGAGAGAACAAATAAGAATGACTATCCATTCTGATGTAAAATAATTGTTGTCATGGTTTGCAACAAATAATCAGATAGCTTATGAAGCATTCACATTAAAATTTGTTAAAATTTTGTGAGAATATTTGTTTTTGCAGACATAAGTACAGACCGTTTCACCGTGCTTGGCGTGTAGGGGAGGCAGTGGGAGAGAGACAGAAAAATAAAAAAATGTAAACATAAAGCAAACTTATTTTGACAGCTGATGCTAGTTCACAAATTCAGTATTTGAACGTGACTGTACCGTACATCGAGGCGTAGTGGGGGAAAGCTCTTAGTGCGCATGCTCCAGTGAGGCGCCACGCACCGTGACACTATCTGTATTTGTCTAGACATTTATTTTTGACAAAAACTTTATCACCTGTTAATTTAAAACACAAAAGTGTGTACTCTGGAGGATTAATTTTACAAATAGATTTGATACCATCAAACATTCCTTATCTTAAGTAATTATAATTGCTGATCATGTTTTAACAACTTATCAGTATACACTATAAAAAGTAATAGACTGAAAAGTTGATAAGGTGGATTCCCATATTATTATCAGGACGTCAATATTAAGATCACATTCAAACTGCGCAGTCCCGGATTTTCCGGAACTCTTGACTCCTTTAATTCGAACCTTGTAGAAGCACAGAGCAAGCCAGCTTTGATGATTTACTGTTAAAGTTAAATTCCATTAATTTCCCTCAGTCTCTCCGTACCCTATTTTTATATAAAATGTTAGTAATGTCACCAAACCTGATATTTGCTTCTTTAGTGGATTTAACATGTTTACTGCTGTATAAATTAGCTTTATATCTCCTAAAGTGCTAAAAAAAATTTTTTGCACACTTACCAGTAAATGATGTCCATATGTCCAAGAGGTAGATTGGAGATGATTTCGCATCCATAAAAGAGGGATTCGATGATGTCATTTTAACCCCAATTAGTAGGCCGCAACTGGTGCCGGTCCATGTACTGTTGCCGTTCATTTTTTTGGTCGCACAACCCCACAGACACGTGTAATATTGTTCTTTGCAAGTACAAAGTAATAATAAAACAATTATATAAATATAAAAAAAATATATTTACACTCCCACCCTATTAATTAATAGCTACAGATAGCAGCACTAAACAAAAGTGTTAACCATTTCAGTGCTATGAAACGATATATCGTTGTTTTAAAAAATCTCTAAGGGATATAGAGAGGAAGGTTAGGCCTATCTAAAAAAAAAATAGCAAAACGGCCATTGGTGACCTGCATGTTCATAGGATACACTAACAACCACTTAGCTAAAAGATTCGCCCAATCCAATGATTTCGAGGTGTATGTCTAAACCAAGGATTATGAACACCTCACTATGCCCCAGTGGTTGTAGTATATCGCTACAAACACACAGGTCACCAATTATTTGCCACACAGGACGGGATTCGAACCCGAGCAGACGAATGCCACTGGCCAAGTGACACACGCCCTAGCCTTCTCCGCTATCTGTGCTTGAAGACTGAGGAGTCAAAAACCGGTATTTAAGCTGTCGCCACCGATTGCGAACAGATAGCGCTACAGATGGTTGTTCAATGCGTTACTAGGTAGCAGCACCAGTTAGTCACGGACTATTTAGATGAAATCTTTTAGTTTAAACACAACAGTGATCATAAATGTGTTCCTGAGACTTTGCTGCAAAACATTAGTTTCCCTAAAATGGCTATATTACGATAACCTCGTCCAACTAAATCAAGGTTAAATTCAATATTACATTGTAAACTATATGTCTTATGATTTTATGAGATTTTGGTTTCAAATAATGCTACCAGAACATAAAAATTTATAGGAAAACCAGGAAAATTACAACAAAAACTAAGTTTTATTTGATGTTTACTACAAATACTGGGATTTATCTTTCTTATATATTTTCTTATTGTGTTATTATTCAAAATTAGCCTAATTAATAAAATAGTGACAACATGACAGTTAAAATTCAACAACAGGTAATGGAATTAAAAGGCAAACAAAAAAGTCTTACAAAATATGAATTATTGGCCTAGCACTGAAAGGGTTAACAGGCCCTCATATGAAAAGGAAAAAAAACAGGGGCTAACTACTCGGATACACCATAAAAAAATACCACAAAAAAGGCCTCAAGCACCATTTTTTGGTTAGGTTCCTTCCACAGTGCTCACTACAGTCATTATCGTCATCCTAATCGATGTCACGAAATCTGTTGTAATAAACTAATTTTATTAGTAGGATAAAAGAAATGTAAGAACTGTTAGAGAACCATTTAATAGACTAATAGTTTGTTTACATAACAACTTAAACAAACTAACATTATAATAATCAGAATTACATTATACAGCTGTTGAGCCTACAGGACTTAGTAAATCATTTTTTATCTCAACACTTCCCCTAAAAAATGACACTTTACTCAGAAAAGAAAACTGCTGCTCATGTATCCTTACATCTTGAAGTATTCTCTTGAGCCACACTGCTTCCCCTACAGCCAAACTTGCAGCAATCTGCAGTAATCAACTCAAATTCTGTAGTTGACAAAGCTACACATTTCTGGCGTTTACTACACCAGAACACTGGACTAAGCACCTTTATTTCCTCATCCATCGCCTTGACCCAATGATGAGAATCCTTGCATGTCACCGCTTCCTTGCACTTAGTAGGTTCTGCAACACATGTCAAAAGGGCACAATCAGCAAGTTTCACAGGAGGCTTCAATTTTGATCTGTCTCTGAAACTATACCTCTGTCCTTCTTCGTCAGGTAAACTTGCAGTTGTTGAAGAGTTGGTTTCAGTTGTAGGAAACTTTTTGTTTTGTTCCACAGGCTCCTTGAAGTCGACAAAATATCGATTGCCACCAACTGATAACACAGGCATTGGGCCACAAACATTAGCATTTATGCGATCACCAGGTTGATTAACAAGCTCTTTGCGAGTACCAAAACTCAACCGATGCATTTTGCCAACAATACAAGCGTCACATATCTCAGACTTAGTACCTGAATTTGAGAATTCAATACCATTTTTCTTCAGGTATGTCAAAACATAACGCTTATTTTGATGCCCTAATCTCTCATGCCACAGTTGTAAATTATCTCTCAAAGCAACTTGAGCTTCAGCATCTTTAATAGGAATAACTTTCATATTCATAATGAAAAATCCATTCTTTCTATGTGATTGAGCAACCAAAACACCATTCTTGAAAAAGTTACATTTGTCCTTGCTGAAAGTAGAAATTATACCTTTGTCCAACGTAGAGGAAATTGAAAATAAGTTCTTGCCTACTTCAGGAACATACCAAACATCTTCCAAATGATTTCTCTTGCATTTTCCTCCCACAATCATCTCTACAATTATGTTACCCTTGCCGAGTGCTTCCATGGTTTGACCATTTCCAACTCCAACATGCTTAACTGTGGAAAATGCCTCGTACGTCACAAACCATGATCTGTTCATTGTCATGTGCTGCGTAGCTCCAGAATCTGCAATCCAATTACATTCTTCGATGCTTTCTTGTGAGCGATCACAATGTCCAACAAAAGCACTTCCAGGTTTTAGTGACTGTTTGACATTAGGACAATCCCTCTTCATGTGACCAAGCTCGTTACATGAAAAGCATTTAGGTCTCCATTTCTTTTTCTTATTTTCAGCTCCAACATCACTGGTTATTATGCTTGATGTTGATTTCACACGGTTAAAGTTAGGTTTTGAGAAAGTTTTATGTTTTGAACCAGTGTAAAATGCAGCATTAGACTCCTTTACACCTCCAACTTCTCGCTCCTTCATTCTCATTTCAACCGTACACAGTCTCTCTCTCAGTAATGACAGTGTCCTCTGATCCTTCGGTACAGACTCCCAAGCGTTAATGAATTCACTATATTCACAGGGCAACGTATTCAACACCCTATTTAGGAATAATGAATCAGGAAGCTTAACTTTATCTTCTTTCCAAGTTTCGTCCTGTAGCTCAACCCAAAGTTTTTCCAGCTTTGCTATGTGTTTCGCTACACTGTCATGTGAGTCCTTTTCCTTAATTCCAAAGAATTCATTAAACAGACGGTCTTGTCTCTGTTCAGTTCTCTGTTAATACTCAAAAGTTTCCCTCACATTTCCTGTGCAGTTGAACACATATTTATAAGCTGTCTTACTTGACTGCTAACAGATGAAACAATGATATTCTGTGCCGAAAATTCTTTCTTTTCAAGTACAGCAACCTGTTTCTGCTATTTGTCCATCTTTGAAGCATCTTCATCTTCACCTGGTTTCTCAGGGTATACAAGCTTTCCTTCAACAGCCTCCATTATACCATGAACTCGAAACTGTATGACTACTTGAAATTTCCAATCTATCCAATTGGATTGACCCTCCAGTTTATCAAGTACATAAACTTTAGAAATTTCCATGGTAGACAAAACACTTGAAGACAACTGAACAAGATTTTTCAAAAAGACAAATAACAATCAATCACAGTTTCTTTCACATACATCCTACTAACAAATCCAATAAATAAACACAGTTATTTGCGAGTCTGGGCCCATAACGATGTCCACATTTCCCGATGGTGTGAACATTTCCAGGAAGTGTTGAATGTGACAGGGAATTTAGAGGTAAATAGAAATGAGGGAGCTGAACACCACTTACAAAATGAAAGACCCGATCCCAGAATATCAGAAGCACCACCAGGCTTGGATGAAATTGAGGAAGCGGTAGGAGAACTGAAATCCGGTAAGGCTCCTGGCATTGATAATATTCCTGCAGAAGCCTTGAAAGCTGATCCAGGCCTAACAGCTCGTATTCTACATCCTCTTTTAGTAACAATTTGGAAAACAGAAAGGATTCCAGAGGAGTGGAGTAAAGGAGTACTGGTAAAACTACCAAAGAAGGGTGATCTCTCCAACTGTAACAATTGGAGGGGCATAACTTTGCTTCCTGTTTGTAG